CACGTGAGAACGCTGGAGCAGCTTAAAAATAGGACGGCATATGTAAAAATGTGTAACGACGACGATGATGTTTTAAGCATAAATAATTGGGCATTCAATTTAAATACGAGGTATAATATAATTTTTCGTCCGAATCGTTACAATATTCGAGTGCAACATCATGCCTTGGGAATATTGGATGCCGATAAGCTTGCGTACATCTTTCCAACCAAAGACGTGAATAACCCGAAGCCAATCGAAGATACGAGGTATTTAGCTTAGCATAGACAGACGGCAGCATTTATCCGGATCAACTCGTTTAAGGCCCCACCAGACAGAAATTCTTTTCTGCGTCACAGGTATGCTTTTGACTGGCATCTAGATAGATAGATTTGTTAGAGGATGTGCACTGCGACCTTAGGTATATTGTGCCCTCAGAGCTCATCACAACACATGATCCAGCCCTAATGCTCTGATGGAACCGAGCAGTTTCGAGGGCTGTAGAGAGTGAATGTCTGAAGCCTCCGGCCACAGCTTTCCCAGGTGTGTTTGCCTTTTTCTCGACACCGCGTCACATTCTAAGAGGATATGCTGGGAGGTTTCTGGTTCCCTGTCGCAGTAGCGGCAGGAGTCGTCTGCGCTAATCCCTAGGGTATGCATATGGACCCGCAGCCTGCTGTGACCTGTTAGCAGTCCTTTTTTATTGGTGTCAGTGCTGCCCCACTGAACGCTATGTGCGTTGGCATCACATGCAATGACCAATGGGAGGCGCAGCTTCTCACTGTACTCTACTAGTCCTCTGATTTCCTCCGGTGGTACGGCGGCATCCTCTGCGAAGTAGGCCGAAGCAAATATTACTTTTCTGGTCTGTCCGTGGAGATTCATAGTTAATTGTATCGCCACCAGATCTCTAGTTAGAAACTCTTAATAGACTTCTCCGTCAGGCCCTTCACCTGACCTTTGTACACCCACGGCTCTTGGACTAAGACAATGCCCAGATCCGCCGAAGTAAACTTTCTTGCGATAACTGCAGATGCAGCTAACGCGTGATGGAGGTTAGTCTGGGCGTGGTGTTGTCATCATTTCTTTCTCTGGACCATCGGCTCGTCTACCTCTAAGAGCGTTAGGTCCTCCGTTTCTCTTCCAGGGCTGTGAAGGTTCAAGCTTTCCGCCAGCTCCCTAGTGGAGGACACGTTTTGTTGAGCTGCTCGTCCAGGTGTCTCTGTCGTCGCGGTGACAGCCGCGGAGATCTATTGCCCTTCCACTCGGTGCTTGTCGACAACCTTCTCTATATCGCTTCCGTAGTTTGCCTTCTTATACTGCCGAAGGAGTCTTCATCGACAGCCACATTCTGCCGTAGGTAGCTGCCCTCAACTTTTGCCTCCATGACTCTCCAGAGTGATGTAGACGCTCTCATTCTGAGCTCTCATGAGACCCAATGCATAGTCCTGGCCCCTGTCTATGCTGGCCCTGTGTATGACTGGCATCTAAGTTAACTCTGTAATTTTGAATAGAACTCTACTTTTGACGCACCCCAATGCGGAAAAACAACGACAGATGGAACGAATTTAAACCAGCTGATTTTTGGCCAATCAAATTGAACCGCTTTGTTTGCGACAACGCCTTCGTTGCGCCGGCTCGCCATGTTCTGTGCATCTTGTCAGTCAAAAGCATGCCTGCGACGCAGAAAGGGCTTTTTATCTGGTGACACCTTTAAGGAAAACGAAATGTCCGTTACGAAGCCGCGGACAACTATAATCGGCTAGTGTAAAATAATTCTATTAAACCTGCTGATTTATGTGCCTTCTGTTTCAGTTTGGAAATTATCAATAAGCAGATTTGTACTAATCCCGAACAGTTGCAAGCCGTGAAGCGAATTGTGGCCGGTCCAAATCGTTATGCACCATATATAGTGGTGGGACCACCAGGTAAGTAAAAAGATTGAAATTTTACTAGGTGAATCGCTTGAACTAATAATAAACTGGAAAATCCGAAGTTATTTGTCAAATAAAGTCAAACAGTTAGCTTTTCTAGCTTTCAGCGCTCAATTTAGCTGAAAGTATTACATATATGTATTACGTCTTGAGCGCCTGAAATACCTGTGGTGGAGTTGTACTCTTAAAAGCTATATGGCTTTCGATGTTTTTCGTTTAAGTCAGTAGTCTTTTTTGATTTCAACTCGACTTTGGAGTGTCATTTTAACAAATATTATAAGCTCAAGGAATATTACAAACCCAATACAGTAACATCGAGTACCCTTTTTTACCCTTTTTTCTTATCTATTTATATAGGCACTGGTAAAACAACAACGATTGTCGAAGCCATTTTACAGCTTTACATACGCCAACCCACATGTCGCATCTTAATTACAGCTGGCTCAAATTCGGCTTGCGATACAGTTGCGCTAAAAATATGTGAATATTTTGAGAATCATTCAAAGCTTATTGAATTATCACGCGAGCGTAATGGACAAAAGGGCCTATATGGCAAATTCAAAAAACCTAAAAATATATTGCGCGTTTTCGCGAAATCATGTAGCGATAGAGATGATTTGCTTAAGAAATATGCAAATTTTATTAGACGCGAAATTGTAACGCCCTCGGTGGAAGTACTTCAGAAATACAACATTATTGTGGTAACACTCTGCACTATGGGGCGATTGCGTAGCGGCATCATCGGCGATTGGCCATTTACACATATTTTCATAGACGAGGCGGGCGCCATTACGGAACCGGAAACACTGGTGGCCATAACGAGTGCCAATACGAAAAATTGTCGCGTAATAATGTCGGGAGATACAAAGCAATTGGGGCCGGTGATCATGTCACAAGTTGCCGCCGAATTTGGTCTTAAGCACTCGTTGATGGAACGCTTGGTCAAACGCGAATGTTATGCGGTGAAAGAGGATGGCACCTATGATACCACTCTGCAGACACGTTTACGTCGCAACTATCGATCACATCCGGAAATATTGCGTTTGTTTAATCATTTGTACTACAAAGACGAGCTGATTGCAGAAGTGAAAAAAGGTATGAAGCCGACTTTATTTGCAAATGTATAATGCTGACTTCGCACGAGGCAACCGTTGAAACAACAAAGGTTTTATAGTTACATTATTTGTATTAATCTAGATAGCCATTTATTTGCCGCTGTCTATTTATGGATGTAGTAAAATATACAGTGATGGACATATCGTTTTGGACCAAGTTCAAAATATTATTTTTTGCCACTTATGTTTATTTATTAATTTTTAAGATTCTTCAATTATTCATTCCATAGCACATACGGTTCTTCTATACCGAAAAAATATACCCCTATTTTTTATTTCGAAAGCAAAAAATATTTAGAGGTCGCTCAAAGCGCGCAAGGTTTTCCATGCATTTTACAAGGTAAACTTTGGTCGCTTTGATGGGGAATGTATGGGTCCCCTTTTGCATTTTTTTGGGTTTTTACACCGAAATATGCAAATGAAAGATTATATGCACAAGATCCTGAACAGCCCTATCGATTTTCAAGAATTCTATACCATTCCTACGAAAAATTGTTTTTCCCACATGGAAAACTTTTAGCGCTTTAAGCGACCTATAAATATTTTTTGATTAAAAAAAAAAACGGGTCTATTTTTTCGGTATAAAACAATCCTTGGGGTTGAGGACATTAAAATTCCGAATTTACTTTTTTTTTTGTACCACCCTAATGCACACACAGTACTCCAAATTATTTTCCTCTCACTTCCAGATGGACTATTAAGATGGAATGAGTTCGATATGCTCAAAAATAAAGGCTTCCCCATTATTTTCGAAGCTGTGCGTGGCCAACTAGGCAAATCAAAGTCATCGCAAAGCTCTTACAATCAAGCTGAAGTGGATAAAGTTATTTGTGTTACCAAAAAATTGCTAGAACATGTGGATTTTAAGAAAATCGGCATTATTTCACCATATAAATTACAGTGTACTAAAATTAGGGGAGAATTGCGTAAATGCAATTTGGAAGACATCGATGTGGGTACAGTTGAATTATTTCAAGGGCGCGAAAAACCAATAATTATAGTTTCGTTTGTGAAATCAAATTGTAATTTGGGTTTCGTAACGGATCCACAGGTACCTACGTTGTTGATTTTGTACATACCTTTAATATCAGCGGCGATCAGAGAGATTTTACTCCAACCAAGATCTTTTTAAAGCTTTCTAACTATTTTATACGGATGGGTAGAGAGTAAGATAAGCTCATACAGTGCTAAAGCTCCCTCTGGTCATCTCTGACGTAAAAAAAATCAGTTTTTTTGCGTACAAGAAGTCTTTAACTTTTTACAACAGAGACGACCAGAGAAAGCTTTACGCATAAAAAATCTACGGAAAGCTTTAAAATGCTTAGAAGAACTCGTACGCACAATCATGCTTCACATAAACTCAGAACATCATTCACATTCTAATGGATATATTTAATATTACATATTTCAGCGTTTAAATGTAATATTGTCTCGAGCTCAATCGTTGCTTATAATGATCGGAAACCCGGAAACTTTGCAGAGTAATGACGATTTTAAGTACCTCATAGAGGAATGCAAGCGGATGCAAACGTTCGGCTAAAATATGTAAGCGCATCACCTATAACTTTCAGCCCTGCTCCCACGCTGGTGTCCGAAAAGTAGGCCGCAAAAACTTGATTGTATTAACAAGAGCATTAAAAAAAGTTTTGTTTATTTTTTATGCGATTAAAAGCTAATTTTCGCCGCACACTTTTAGGCGAAATAGGTATGACAATAAGCATCACGTGCGAATAAGGCACGTTGAATTGTTTAGCTGGTAAACTTTAACATAAATATATTCGTAATCCTTTCTATTTGTTTATTTTCAGCCAAATAATTCAAAATATCAAGCAAATATGGGAATTTTAGTGCGTTGATTTGAAGTTGTAAACCCAAATTTGAATACTTGATTTAACAAAATATTTAGTTTAAGAATAATGTTTAAATTCCTTTTTTATCAAAGAAATTATTGTACCCATATTACTACAATACATCAAGGGCTATTTGCTTAAGATAAAAAGGTATCCAAAGACGAAAGTCTGGAATATTTGACTTGACCATCAAAATTTGTATAAAATATATATATATTTTTTTTTGAATGTTCCAGTTATGCAAATTCAAATGCATGGTCTAAATTTTTTTAGCGTCCTTTATTTAAGAATGATTTATTCTTTACGAAGTGTACGCTTGTTTTTATATTTAAGTTGTACTTGTATACCTACTGAAATATTTTACTTTACCTTTTTATTTCTATTTTTACATTTTCGTAATAAACAAATCACGTGCAAAATGTTTGTGTAATATTTTGATATCTCGGTTTTCACAAAATAAGAGAAAAGGGATAAAAAAGTTTAGTGTTATGAGAATAAGTGCCGTTTTGATACCATAAACCTGGTACTAGACTAGGTTGATAAAATTAAGTTGTTGGTTTGGAGTTTTGTAGAGTTTTTTATCCTCGTTCGCATTTGTGTTGCAGTCCAAGCAGTTTTTACGACCTGCAGATTTTTTTTTCATACAGAAATTAAATATACCACCAATTTCTTATGAAGAAATTAATACCTAAAATGGCATTCTTTTCGGAAGCACATTCTATACGGTCCGACTGGGTCGCTTTAAATAAAAAAAAAAAAACTGTGCTGGATATTTTTTTGGTGCCTAAGTTAACTAGTCAGTGTTCTCAAGGGTGGAAATATGCGGGTAAAGTTCGCTTTAACCCTTTCTCTAATTTCGTACCCAAAAAGGCAGATATAAAACTGTTATAGGCTTGTTTCATTACGACTTTCCTCTCATAAATATGTTAAAAATATATGTAGGGTTTTTAATAGAGCTTGGCTTTGAAAGCATATTTAGGATTAAACCCCTTTTAACTCCTCTAAGTTGAACGTTGTGTTTACATGCCACTTGAAAAACGCATGGGCCATAATTCGAAATCTTTACGGCGAAAAGAACCAGTCTAGGTATCCTTTGCATCGCTAAAAAACTACATATAAAGTAAATAAAAGTGTTAATAAATAGTGAAATAATATGAAACTAGGAGTGCCAGTTACGGTCGAAATTCGACCGTTCTTCTAGTTCTTTAAGGCCCTTGGAAAGGTTTCTACCTTTGCACGTCATTTAACCCAAATTAATATTACAATATTAATATGTACAAAATTAATTACCGGAAAATTTTCTGGTTTGGAGCTAAAACGTGACTTCAATTTTTTATATCTTTGAAGGACTTTGAAGGATCCGTAAATTTCGACAACTCAATAAACATTGATCAACAATGGATAAACATGGATAAATTTCGCTAATCAGAAACTTTGATGATTCGATAAATTTCGCTAACTTGATAATTTTCGTTAACAGAATTTATTTCAATAAATCTAAGCGCTTTCCCAGTCCTTTAATAGCTCTGCTGAAAAAAGGCTCAATATACAAGTAAGAAAGTCTAAGTTCGGGCGGAGCCCGGCGCAAATATTAAATATATGATGTTCACCTTTCCGAAAGCTACCGCTACATGGTAAGCCGGTAAATTTCAAAATATTGACGTTTCAAGCATTTCTAAAATTTACCGTTATATGAAAAGCCATAATTTTAGTCCGATTTCAATAATTTTCATCGTTTTGCTTTTATGTAGCAAGCACAATAAAAATACCGAGTTTGGTACAAATTGGTAGAACGGTTACCGAGATACATATATGTGATCATAAGTGGGCGGTGACACGCCCATTTTTCAAAATTTTATTATAGACGTATTTCCTGGTAAGGAATTGTTGCAAGCATCAATTTTGAATAAATTGGCTTTAATATTTACTGATTTATCGAAGATTTCGTATTTCTCCAAATTACCGTTATATGAGATGTGGGCGTGGTTATTGTCCGATTTTAAAAATTTTCGGCCATTTGGTATCCTGTACCAAGGCCAATAACTGTGCCAAGTTTGGAAGAAATCGGTGCAGCGTTTGCCAAGATATACACATGTAACCATAAGTGGGCGTGGCTACGCCCATTTTTCAAAAATTTATAACATTCTTGTTTTTCGTCTAAAAATTATTGTAAATATCAATTTTGAGTTAATAATCTTCAGTAGTTACTAAAATATCGCAGTTTTCGTATTTCTGAAAATTACCGTTATATGGGAGGTAGGCGTGGTTATTGTCCGATTTTGCCCATTTTCAATACCATCCGTCCTACGCCCGAAAGAAGTACACGTACCAAGTTTCGTTAAGATATCTTAATTTTTACTCGAGTTATCGTGTGCACAGACGGACGGACGGACGGACGGACGGACAGACAGTCACCGCTTAATCGATTTCTCTTTTCATCCTGATCATTTATGCATACATTTGTCTATATCTATCTCGATTCGTTTTGCCTGTTACAAACAACCGTTATGTGAACAAAGTTATAATACCCTTGTGCACAAGTGCGCTCGGGTATAAAAATAAGTGAGTATAACGACAGGCTAGTTATTATAACTAGAGTCCGACCGATTAATCGGCATCGGCATCGGCTAGTATCGGCACAAAATTGAGCATCGGCATCGGCCTTTTTTCGCCGATTCTATGGAATTTCTTTTCAAATGTTCAGGTGAAGCGACAGCCAACTTTAAAAAACATTTGCAGACAGCTCACAAAAATTATTTTTATGGAGAACACTGCCAGCAAAAAAAAATTGCCAAAAATTAACGGGATTTTATAGCAGCTTGAAACTTGCACTTCATTATACCAGAATGAAATGGTCTACAAACCTGCATAGCAAAATTCTGATTAAAAAGTTTGAAATTTTGGTGAAAATAAGCAGAATTTTTATAATTTTTGTACAAAGTTTGAGATCTGAATTTATATGGTGTTTGTTGTATACCAGCTAGACTTTTATAAAAAAAATAATAAACATTAAATAAAAATGACAAAATCGGTTAAAATATCGCAATTCTTTTATTTTGTGGACCACTATATGTATGTACATTAGACTGCATTATCAAAAAAAGTTGCGGTTTTTCCGCCAGGTTTACAAAATTTATTATATTTTAAGACGTCTACCAAAATATTTCGGAAAAATATTAAGATTTAAGTGAGCT